GTTCTGTTTCACTCCCACTCTTAGTTTAGCCAGAACTGCAGGGAGGCAAATATATTATTCCCATACAAACATCCCCACACCTAATTATTCTTCCCGAGGCATTCTTTACTTCCCTTAAAAAAATGACTTAACCTGACAGAGTTGCCTGGGACTCTATTCTCAATCTGATTTGCATCTGAGATGATGACACAATTTAAAATCAGCCTTCTTGAGCAGCAGGGACGAGAGTCCTTCACTTCACTGGAAAGAGGAAACGGATGCTTTGTGATAAATAGGAAAACCCTGCCTCTCACCATTGTCTGTAAGAGTCATTGTTTTCACCTTGACCCCTCACATCTAAATCACTCTTGGGGTGAAATATGGGCTCCCACTGTCTTTCAAATGCCATTTCTAATACTTGGGAATGCTCTGTGACTAAAAAGCACCTTTACAAGGTGAGATGACAGAGTGTAATTTCTACTGAGAACTACCAGACATCTGGAAGGAAGTAACTTTATGAGGCAGAAAATTAAAGAACTCACTTCCAGTCCTGCCTATGCGTTAGCAGAGCCGGGTACACACTGCTATTCTCTGAAAAGCCAAAAAGCAAATAAGGTATTGATCGAATATAAAAGAAAAGAGAATCTGATAGTAAATAACTAACAAAGAGTTTGAATGCCTAGTCTGAAGGGTGAAAATAAAATCATTTTTTTCCCATAAGTATCACTTTTCTATCTTGTGCTCCTGTAGCATGGTGTAGAGAGGTGGATTTGATTGTTTTTAAGATGAGGGCTATGCTGGGAACCAGCAGTTAGCGTAATGGCTATGTCACTGGACTCCCACGTAGTTGACCGTGGTTCGCGTCCCGGACCCGGTGGCTTAAAACTCACGCCGGGCACGTGTGCGTGCGTGCCCAAGATCCCGAGAGGAGAATGGAGAAGGGATTGTGGCATGACACACCCCCCTTTGGGAGGTGATTTCTCGCTTTCTGTCTCTATGTCTCTGTCTGTCTGGCGAGCGCACTCGCCCTATAGCAAAAACCTCTCAAAAAAAAAAAAAAAAAAAAGATGAGGGCTATGCTACAACCATAGGCAGGGTATTGTTTTAGAACAGAAAAATATGGAGAGGATGCAATAGGAAAAAACTTTGTATAACCAATTAATCCTGGTGAGTCGTTTCCTACCAGAGCTACCAAATGGGAAACCTTTTGGATTCTCACTCATTTGCATTTTGTCCAGCCAGAGCACTCACTCGTAAATTATTTAATATAATATTAATTTATACTGACAACTGACTATAAGCCTAAATTAAAATTTCCTGAAAAACTCATTACCCATCAACCTATCTCATAATGCATGTGTCATATCTTATTCAGGACAAAATAAATGAACATCAGTGCAAAAGGTAATTGCATTTTGTAAACACCAGAATTCAGCGGGGGTGCCAATAACCAATGTGGTCTTGCGTTCTGGAGAAACCCACAGCTTTTCCAGATAGACACCAAAGAGTTCTCCTGTAGTCACTTGACCACACTGTTTAACACTGGTATTTAGAGGAAGTTATGGGGGCTTGAAGATCAAAATTATTCCCTCTTTTCTATAGCATCTGTTTTATAATTAGCAATTGATAAACAAATCTATTAGGTTGATGGGAAAGTCATGACATATTTTTCTTTTTCTTTTTTATGCAAAACTATCATGGCTTTCCTGATAACCTAATATAAGGATGTGATAAATCTCAGAACCTTGTCAAATACAGAAAGTCCCCACCACCCAAGCTCTGGTCATTTACTTCTTCATTCAGTAATTATTATCTCTTGGGTGCCATGTTTATACATAAAACTTTCAAGGAACCCTCTGAGTCCAACAGAATGTATTAACATGGACATGATTTTATTTGATCTTCATAGTAATCCTGGGAGGTGATATTTACACATGATAAAATTACGCAGGGAGAGCTTCGGTAAGTCACTCAAGGTCACATCCCTGGGGTGATGGTGCAGTACATCACTCTCCTCAAACAGAGAAGAGAGGTGACCCCGTATTTTTGAGGTTGGTTGTTTAGCATGTTAAACAGTGTTACCTAGTTCATATGTGGAAGGGTAGCCAAGGGCAGATAAAGATCCTGTTAGAAATAACCCTAGTTCTTGGGGCCGGCAGGTGGTGTGGTGGATAAGGGCGCTGGACTCCCACATGGCTGACTACGGTTCGAGTCTCGGACCTGGTGGCTTGCTTTCTCACTTTCTCTCTCTCTGTCTTTAAGGTCAAATTAAAATGAATAAACTAATGGGACTAGCAGGTAGCGTAATGGCTATGTCGCTGGACTCCCACGTAGTCGACCACGGTTTGTGTCCCTGACCCAGTGGCTTAAAACTCACGCCGGGCGCATGTGTGTGCATGCCGAAGATCCTGAGAGGAGAATGGAAGAGAATTGTGGCGTGGCCATCCCCCCTGGGGGGTGATTTCTTGCTTTCTGTCTCTCTGTCTGTCTGGCGAGTGCATGTGCCCTACAGCAAAAACCTCTCAAAAAAGTGAATAAACTAATTAAATGAATGCATAAATAAAATTAAATAATTCTTTAAAAAAAAAAAAAACGAAATATCCTAGTTCTTGCTGACAAACCTAAGCAGAAGGACTGGAATGACCTAATCTTGGAAGAATCTCCCTGCACCTGAGTTACTTGGTGACATTTCAGTCAGGGACAGCGGAGTGTGAAAAGGACATCAGGAAAATGGATGTAACTCTCCTCTGAGGGCCTTGGAGGTAGGAAGAGTTACTACTATGAGCTGGGATTTTACCTCACAGGCATTTTGGGGGTATAATCTCATTTTCTTCTGTCTTCTTGAGGTAGGGGCTCTCTAACTGGTTATGATGGCATTGCTTAAGACACACACAAAAAACTCATTTGTAAGTTTTTATTGGAATTGGAAATTCTGGCAAAGATTTTTTTTTTTTAAATCAGGATTTAAAAATCCTTTTTGGTGGCTAAGTTTTAGTGTCAGGACTCCAAGTTATGGGTGTCACAGCGGGAGGTTTAGAAGGCCACGCTATTTCTCTTATTTGGGCACAGGCATTTTTCATAGCATTATTTCTAGGTCTGCTCTCCCCCAAAGTTCCATATTTATAGGAATATAATTTTAAAAGATTTTTTTTCTGGGTTTTTGCCATGGGGCATGTGTACTCACTGGACAGAGACAGACAGAGGGAAAGTGAGAAATGACTCCCCCGGGGGGAAGGTCATGCTGCCTGCAATCCATTCATTCTCCGTTCTCCTCTCAGGATTTTGGGCATGCAAGTAATGTGTAAAATAAGATTATACCAGAAAGGCCCCCCAAAATGCCTCTGAGGTAAAATCCCAGTTCATAGTAGTAATTCTTCCCTGTGTGATTTTCAAGCTACCAGGTCCAGATTCGAACTGTGGTCAATCATGTGGGAATCCAGCACCTTAACCACTACATCACCTGCTGGCCCCTGGAATATAACATTTATTTTAATTAGAAAAATTATATACTGAAAAACATGGTGAAAAAAAGCTAATAGGCCCTGTCATGGTAGTATGTGTTGGTGGACACTTCCATTTGTCAGACTGAGGCCACAAGAGAGACCCAGGTTTGATTTCCAGCCTACCCTAAAATCCAGATGTGGTGGTGTGCACCTGTAGTTCTAGCTACTTAGGAGGCCGAGGCAAGAAGATCATGTCATAGATAGCCCTGTCTAAAATTTTAAAAAAAGAGAGAAAAAGAGAAAAAAATCTAAAAAAAAAGAAGAATAAGATGTATTAGTATCCTCTGGGCACCTTTAAAAAATCTCAATGCCCAGGTCACCCTTTAGATCAATTAAGCCAGTGTTTGGGTGTGGGACCCAGGCATGAGTGGTTTTAAAAGTTTCCTAGGTGATTCCATTGTGCAGCTAAAGAGAACCACTGGCTTACTAACCACTATGCCCACTAAACTGAAGCAAGGTTAGGCAGCTGCGTGTGTGAATGCTCCAGGCGAGGATCCCCATTGGAGATTCTTGGTGTGGAACTTTGGGTCCAATTAGAGATGTCTGGGCAGAGAGAACATAAGGTCCTGCTCTAGCTCTGTCATGAGCAGCGGCCTACTTTGCTCAATAGCCAACTCACAAAAAAACAAAATATATTTATGGGCTGCATTATTTTTCTATTCCAGATGGAAATAACTTAATTGAGGTCCTTCAAAAAGTGATTAAATTTATCACTTAAGATGACCTATTATGCTAAATAGAAGACCGTCTATGAAAATTGGCAACTCTTATCATTACTTGTAATATTTATCTGAATATTTTTGGGAAAGGAAAATGGAGAATTTTCTAAAGTTCTATCTTCAGATTACATCATGGACCTTAGAGTGAAACCAGGTGGTCTGTGGGTGGTTCATATCTGCTTTAGTTTATGGTTCTCTGATCCCTGCATGGGCATTAATGAAATTAAGTGTATTTTCTAAAACAGTCTGTACTCTACTTCAGACTTGCCATTTTTTCCTTTTTCATGAGGCCAATAGAAGTGGTTAAAATTTTAAAAATAATAACTGGCCTTGGGAAAAGAGTAAATGCAAGCATCGTTTATTCATGTGGAATTCAGCAAATGGAGTTTTGTTGCAATAACAGGCTCTACTAAAACCAGAAGTTATTAAATAAAAAAATGCTAAAATTCCAGATGGATAACTTTGAGCAATAATACCAGTGCTAGTTCTTCTTGCTGACCTTTGGCCTTCTTTGGTCCTTGCGTATACACGCACACACACACACACTCACACCCTCACAATCTTGTAAGCAATTCTCTGTCTTGCCTATCCTCTGGAGCAATGTTTTTTCCACCGATGACAAGCTTCCTGGTGGAGAATTTAGTTGAGGGGAAGTGAAGAGTGAGGAAATACAGCCAGTGTAAGGCTTGCTAGTGAGCAAGAAGACATATCATATGAAACAAAGTTTTAATTTTTATTTTACATATTTATACATAAAACTTTCAAGGAACCCTCTGAATCCAACAGAATGTTAATAGCACATCTAAAAAGGAACTTCAGGTAGTCAACATCACAAAATGTTGAAAACTGATTAAAATATACATATTACGAAGAGCTACAACTTCACTACGAGGCAGGCATGTATGTTTTGACTTGAATAGCACCGTCATTTACAGTTCTTTAAAACTACAGTGAAGAATGAAAGTAGTCCATGGGAAAATACGGCTCCAACGTAAAACCTCCAAACAAATACGAATAAAGTTAAAACTACCCTCTTGGGTTAACCATGATTTGGGATGGTATAAGTACTGTACATTTTCTGTAACAATAGTTTATTAAAATGCCTGATATTAAGTGGCACAAGTACAAATTTAAAATAAATTAAGAAGCAAAGGCCAATCACTGGACGTTAAGCTTCAGACATTATCGATGACTAACACTGATGTTTCTGCGCCATCTTCAATAACAGCATTTTTACAATCACAGAAGCAAAAGAAATGCTAGCTTGACCCCTGGTGGGTGGCTTCTTTTCACTTTGCAGGCATTTTCTCTGCCATGTGCTTCTGCTGACTTTCAGCATGTCTGTAAAATTAATAATACAGTTATTTAGCCCCAAGGAGAAAGATCCGAACTGTTTCTCAATCAATAGCTACAATATCCTCCAAATCGAGGTTCAGTTACTCACTAGGAAATACATGAGAATTTTTTTTAAAAAAAGTACTTTATTCAAAATGATTTGACCTCTTTAATTTTTTATATTCTTTTTTTTTTTTTTTTGAGAGGTTTTTCCTATAGGGTGCATGTGTTCGCCAGAGAGGCAAAGGAAGAAATTACCCCGCGGGGGGATGGCCACACCGCAATCCCTTCTCCTCCATTCTCCCTTCGGGATCTTGGGCATGCATGCATACGTGCCCGGTGTGAGTTTAAGCCACAGGGTCTGAGACTTGAACCATGGTTGACTACATGGGGGTCCAGTGATGTAGCCATTACACCATCTGCTGGTCCCAATTCTTTATATTCTATGTATAATTATTTAGTAAGCCACTGAATTAACCTGAGGTTTATGCCTTCTACTTTTGTGAAAAAAAAAAAAGTTTGGTATTGGATAAAAGAGGTGAATGTCTGGGATACTTTTACCCACAAATATTATGTGCCTTCTATGTGCCGGGTACTGCTCCACACTGAGGATTTGGTATGAGTTAGACAATGAGGCCTTTGCTCTTGTGGAGCATATATTCTGATGGAGACAGACAAGAAGGAAACAAATAGCAAATAAGGAAATAGCAGACAGAAATAAGCTCTAGCCAAAAATCAAAACAAGGGCCAGCCCCATAGTCTAGTGGTTAAGGGGGTTGGATCTCACATGGCTGACCATGGTTTGCATCCTGGCCCTGATGGCTTGAGGAACATGCTGGGCATGCATGGGTACATGTGTACCCTAAATTCCAACTACAAGGAGAAATGGAAGAGAAGGGTCTTATATGTGACCACACCCTATTCAGGGTTTCTCCCTTTCTGTTTCTCTGTCTCTTGGTGGTAAGTTCACACACTTTCTGACAAGTTAAACTAAAACAAAAGTCAAAACATGAGGTTATGACAGAGAGTAACTGAGTGACTCCTTTAGTTAAACACATGCATACAGTGACAGACCTAGGTATGAACTAAGGTTCCTGACGAAACCCAAGCCAGTAATCTAATTCACTCTAAGGTAGGAGTCGGTGGATATAAGGATTTTCCCACTGTTTGCATAAGCTTCCCTCCCACGTTGTTAGCCCTAAGATCGTGATCATCACAGTGAGGGTAGGGTAAGGTGGGGTGAGTCTTCTTTGTCATCATCTTCTTCTTCTTCTTTTTTTTTTTTTTAAAGTTTTTATTGGAGACACACACACAGAAAAGTTAGAAGTTGTGTGGCCATCCCCCTTCCTCCCCCAGGAGGGATGATCATACAACAATCCAGTCTCCTCTTCGGATTTTGGGCACGTGTACACATGTGCCCAGCTTGAATTTTCAAGCCACCAGTCTGGGACTCAAACCACTGTTGGCCATGTAAGAGTCCAGTGCCTTAACCTCCATGCTGGCTTGGGCAATCTTCTTATTCATCAAATTCTGCAATGACCTGTGTGCCCTAAGGTAACTCAGCAGGTGGCTGGCAGAGACAGAAGGGCAGGATGGCCAGGCTGTTTCCATCCCCCAGCAGGCACTACTCAGAGAACGGCAGTGTCCGAAGGGCCCTAAGACAAAGGTTTTGAAGGGCAATTTGGGGAAATAAGTTTAACACGAGCAAAGCATCTAGGGCTGTGGTTTACAGCTGTAATACAAGGATGATGGCCAGTCTGTGTGTGCTGCCTAGACTTGAGAAGTCAGAGACGCCAGGTTTAACTCACTGGCTGTATAGAGAATATCTCCTATCTACGGTCCAGAGAAGACAAACCACACACACTTTCAGAAATAGGGAAGTGACAGAAGAATCCTTGTCATACTCTGTAGCCCACAAATAAATAGGAATCTTCATCTAATAATCATGGACGTTGGGAAGAAGATACCAGCCTGAATGATTATTTTTTTTTAAATAGCCCTTTAGTATATCATCTCACAGTCCTGTCTGCAAAAGAACCACGATCATTTTCATAAAGTATTTCACTCAAAGTCATCTCGAGAAATACTTTGATGTCCAGTGAGCTACAGTTCCTTTGGAGCTAATTCAATCACAGTTCTTATAGCAGTTTTAAAATATGTATGGGGGGAACCAGCAGTTAGCGTAATGGCTATGTCGCTGGACTCCCACGTAGTCGACTGTGGTTCGTGTCCCGGACCCGGTGGCTTAAAAAACTCATGCCGTGCGCTTGTGCGTGCGTGCCCAAGATCCCGAGAGGAGAATGGAGGAGAAGGGATTGCGGCGTGACCATCCCCCCTGGGGGGTGATTTCTCGCTTTCTGTCTCTATGTCTCTCTCTCTGTCTGTCTGGCGAGCGCACGCGCCCTACAGTGAAAATCTCTCCAAAAAAAAAACAAAATATGTATGGGGACTAGCAGATGGTGTAATGGTTATGTCACTAGACAACCATGGAGTCAACTACGGTTCGAGTCCTGGACCTGGAGGCTTAAAACTCATGCCGGGCGCATGTGTGTGCATGCTCAAAATCCCAAGAGGAGAATGGAGGAAAAGGGTTTACGGTGTGGCCATCCTCCCTGGGGGGTTATTTCTTGTTTTCTGTCTCTGTCTTTCCAGTGAGTGCACACACCCTATAGCACAAATGTCTCTAAAAATAAATAAATAAATAAAATATGTATCTATGTGCTTATGTGTGCACATGCATGCACACATACATACATCTGGGGGCTCTCTGAGAAGGAAGAAAAATAGGAGACAGCTTCAGAAAATTCTGAAAGTTGGGTGGTGTTAGAATTCATCACAAAGATGATTTCTATTAAACTTTTTAAAAGTTTTTTCCCATTGTGTGTGTGCTTGTTGGAAAGAAAAAGAGAGAGGGCAAGTGAGAAATCATCCCCGGGGGGAGAACTTTCCTTTCAACTCCACGATTCTGCCTACCCTGTAATCCCATAATCATGCCGACTGAACGGCATAAAGAACGTCCACAGCAAACCCGTGTATTAGCCAAGCACTTAGAGAAGTCTCTCGATGTCCTCCCTGCCAATGCGGAATGCCAACAAGGAACGCCAATGCTACTTTGAGGGCAGAGTAAAGGTCTCGGCTATCACAGGCAATTCCCAGGCTTTCCAAGGGAGTTCCCATATTTTCCAGAAAAGGTCAATACAACCAGAAAAGTCCTCATTGTGTATTTTCTTTCTTTTTTTTTTTGGAGAGGTTTTTGCCATTGGGCACGTGCGCTCACCAGAAAGACAGAGAGAGACAGAGAGATAGAAAGCGAGAAATCACCCCCGGGGGGGATGGCCACGCTGCAATCCCTTCTCCTCTATCCTCCTCTTGGGATCTTGGGCACGCATGCACACGTGCTCGACAGGTCTGGGACATGAACTGCGGTCGACTACATGGAAATCCAGCGACATAGCCATTACGCTAACTGCTGGTCCCCCTCGTTGTGTATTTTACTACCAATGTCCCATAATCTCAATACTTGGGTGCAAATTTCTTAGAATAACAAAAAGGAATTTTTTTTAATGATTGCTGTTGATGCAATGCCTGAATACATCTGTAGATGGCAACAAATATTGTCTGAATGTTACTGTGATATTTCAGATGCAGGCAAATATGCTCAGAGTTGGGAAGGTCTACTGCTCTGTTGCTCTGTTTTTGCTTGTTTTTCTTTTTTTTTTTTTTTTGGTTAGGGATAAGGAATTCTATTTAAAATATTTAGAGTACTGCCCACAAATCTTTTTTTTTTCCCTTTTAAAATTTGCCAGAGGGCACACATACGAGAGAGAGAGAGACAGAGAGATAGAAAGCGAGAAATCACCCCCGGGGGAATGGCCACGCTGCAATCCCTTCTCCTCCATTTCTCTGCTTTGAGGGATTTTAGGTATATAAGCACATGTGTTTTGAGTATCTTTCAAGCCTCAGGGTTTGAGACTTGAACTGTGTGGCCAACTGCGTGGGATCCAGCCACCTTAACTACCAGGTCACAGGGTCACCTGTGCCCATATACCTTAAAAAATAATAATAAAAAAAAAATGTTAAAAAGTATAAACATAGTTTTACAGAATTTATTTTGAGACCAAAACTTTTTCTATAGCATAGCACTTGAAAATTATTTTGAGGTGCCAGCCCCTGGCTTGGTGGTTCAGTCAGCCAGATCCCACACAGCCAATTGTGTGGTTCAAGTCCCAGACCTGGTGGAATGTTGCTGAATGCACGTGCATGTGTGCCCAAGATCCCAGAGGAGAGAAAAGGAGAAGGGCCTGCAGCACGGCCACACCCCACGTGATCACTGCATATGGCTTTGAGCTTCTCCACAATGGTCACGGGCCATGTGCCTCATGCCTTCTGCTCCTGTGACAAGCAGCCTTCTTTGTTCGGTGAGCCTTCTCGCTTGTGAATACCATTTCTGGCATTAATAGCAACGACTGTGTCCTGGTTTAAAAACATCATATGGACTGTCTTAGAAAAGGTGCCATCGTAAATATGTAGTCAGTACAACATTTCATGCACTCTACTTACGGAGACAGGCTTTTCTACAAGGAAAACTGCTAAGAAATGCCAATTTTGACGAGTATTAACCTAGTTTCCTTATCCCCTAGGAAGGGAGGTATTCTTTGAGTGTTTGTAAAGAGGCAGTTGGAGTCAAGCCCAGTCAGAAACTCAAGTCCTGGGGTTTCCCCATGGTGAGAACAATCTGGTGGTACTGGGATTGCAGAAAGATGCCAGTGTCCCTCATTCTGGGCATGGAAGAGATGATCAAGAGCTGGGTCACATAGCAGCTAGTGCCACTTGGTGGCACAACAGGGCTGCTCATGTGCTGGAAACATGCCAGGTTAGAACAGCTTAGGGGGACCAGCAGATGGTGTAATGGTTATATTGCTGGACTCCCATGTAGTCGACCATAGTTTGAGTCTCGGACCTGGTAGCTTAAAACTCATGCTGGGCATGTGTACACGAATGCCCAAAACCCTGAGAGGAGAATGGAAGAGAAGGAATTGCAGTGTGGTCATCCTCCCTGGGGGGTGACTTCTTGCTTTCTGTCTCTCTGTATCTAGGCGATTGCACATACCCTATATCCAAAATCTCTCTCAAAACAAACAAACAACAGCTCAGGGCCAACTTCCTGGCAGACAGTTCTTCAGGGTAATATCTGCCTAGGCCAGAACTATAAACCTTCTTTAGGCGAAGGCATAAGACGTTCCAATGCACTGAGACTCCATCACAAGGGGAGGACGGTTGCTAAAAGCAACGCATTTGGTAAGAAAAAGCTTAGGCTGCTTCCCCTCCATCTAAACAGCTGACACCAGCAAAGGTTAGCTGAATTTCACTCACGGAAGTAAAGGAAGTTCTTTAGAGTTAGTTCATCTTAAATTTAACCACCCCAAGCTTCCCTTCTTTGCGAAAGTGAAGCTGCACTGACCTGGTCAAGTCTTCAATGTCCACCAGCATGGCGTCCTGCTCTGTGTGCAGCTCATCCCGGATGAGGAGCAGCTGGACCAACTCTTCATTCAAGCCTGGGGCAGCACAGGAAAAACAAAAGACAAAACCCACAACATTTTAAAATAGATAAAACTGCTGAGCCAGCAGATGGCATGGTGATCGGGGTGGTGGGATTGCACATGGCCAACTGTGTGGGTCAAGTTCCAGATCTGGTGGTTCAAGAAACATGAGTGTGTGTGTGTGTGTGTGTGTGCCTAAAATCCCAAAGAAGAAATGGAGAAGAAATTGCATTGCAGTGTGGCCATCCACACACCTCCTGGGAGGTCCTTTCTATTCTTTCTTTCTCTCTCTAGCAAGTGCACATGTCCTCTGGCAAAATAAAGAAAAAAATAAATAAAACTGCATCCAAATCAGAAAATTTAACTGTTCACAGACTATTATACATGGACCGTAGATACATAAATATATACAAAGAGCTACACCTAACAGGGAGGATAGTCTTGTACAAATGTAGACTGTGTAATAGCTTCTCATAAGCACAGGAGAAGTCATCGGTTGAAGAAACAAGGCTAGTCTGCATATTACAGAGATGTCTGAGGAAAAAAAGAGTCAAGCGAGGGATATTCCCAATTACGTTAAGGTGGGAAAAAACAGCCTGTTAGGAAAAGCAGGATTTTGTTTTGAAAAAATGTGAATAAATTCTGGAGCCTTGTACATTTTCTGCCGTTCATCTTCTGGGGATGGGGGAGCCTTCTGTGCAGGTGGTTCTAGGAAAAAGCATTCTCTGAAGATATCGGAAAGTCAGATTCATGGAACGGTCATATAGGTAAGACTTGAAGAAATAACGCTCGGGAATCAGCAGTTAGCGTAATGGCTATGTTGCTGGACTCCCACGTAGTCGACTGCGGTTTGCGTCCTGGACCCAGTGGCTTAAAATTCACGCTGGGCGCGTGTGAGTGCGTGCGTGCCCAAGATCCCGAGAGGAGAATGGAGGAGAAGGGATTGCGGTGTGACCATCCCCCCTGGGAGGTGATTTCTTGCTTTCTGTCTCTATGTCTCTCTCTGTCTGTCTGGCAAATGCACGCACCCTATAGCGAAAAAAAACTCTCCAAAAAAAAAAAGAAAAAGAAAAAGAAAAAGAAAAAGAGAGTTTAATGAAAATTTCTGCACGAGACAGTATCAGGGAAATATGTCACTGGACTTGATACCAGGAATAAAATATATGCATGTGGAAGCATTTCAAATCCTCCTGAAATCTCTGCACTGGGTTAATTTGGCTCCTACTTCTAAAAAATAGGAATGAGCAAAGGGCTTTCTCCTGCTTTCTGGAGAAGCTAAGAATTGAGCTGCTAGGCCCAGACACAAGGGGAGAGCAGTCACCAAGCCAGAGCTCTGGGCAGGGAAACGAGAGAAAGACAGAGTTGTTCCGACTGTCCCGGTTGGAAATGCTTTCAGAGATCCCAACTTCAAATAATGCATTTGTCTGCCTTTAGTTCAGGCTAGCTTCCAATTTTTCAAAAAGAGAAAAAAGTCATACAAAGAGGCCTAAAATTTTATCTGCTCTTGAAAAGGACTACATGGCAATTTTATTATTTAAAAGTCTAAGGAAGATGGTTCTGTAGTAAAGCATCAGAAAGCCTTTTCAGTCCTTGAAAGAATAATCATCCTAGTAATTAATTCTCTACGAAGATTAAAATGTAGTTGTAAAATGAAAAAAAAAAATCCTGTGGATCTATGGTTTCTTAATTAAAATTTTAAAGCCTTTCTCTTGAGTTAAAATACTATGGAATGTAATAACTTGGCACTGAATACAGCTGATTTTTTAAAATTTGGATCCAGTAGAAAAATTTAATTTTTTTCTAGTGTGCTTTTGGTATAGCTTTTAGGCTGCCACTCAGTTGAGTGCCTGTATAGCCAAACCCTCAGCACTTAGGAATCTTTTTTCCAATATGAAGTTTTAAACTTTTTATTATGAAAAATTTCAAACAGATAGGAAAACAGAAAAAAGAGTTTAATGAACACCACCAGCTTCAACAATGATCAGTTCATGGTCCATCTCGACTAATCTCTCTTTCCTACTGGATTATTTTAAAGCAAATCCCAAACATCACATTATTTCTCCTGTAAATGCTTCATTACGCATCTCTAAAAGACAAGTAATATTTTTTTTTTTTTAAGGTTTTGCCACAGGGTGATGTGCTCACTGGAAAGACAGAGGGAAAGTGTGAAATTGCCCCCTACCCCTGGGGGGATGGCCACACTATAATTCCTTCTCCTCGATTCTCCTCTTGTGATTGTGAGTATGCATGTGCGTGCACATGTGCCTGGCATGATCTTCAAGCCTGTGAGTCTGGGGCTCAAGTTGAGGTTGGCCATGTGGAAGTTTAGTGCCGTAACCACCAAGGTACCTTCTGGTCCCTGACAAGAAATTTAAAACCAAACCAAACCAAACCAAACCAAAACAAAACATTCACATAACCATAATACCTTTTCCATCTCATAAATAAATAAATAAATAAATAAATAAATGTTTTACAGAACATTCAGTCATTGTTCAAATTCCCTGCTTGGCTCATAAATGATTTTGCAGTTGGTTTGCCTGAATGCATTTGGCTAGCATACTTTTTGGGTATTTTTAAATTTGCAAGTCCACAGGATTATACAGAACTGTACACTGATGCTGGAGGGATGGTGAATTCATCTGGCCTAACCATACGCCTCACTGAGAATATTTTCTCTTTCATTGGGCCAAGTCTGCTCTCTGAATATCCGGGAGTGGGCACCACTCGCAGTCCCTCTGGACACCTGTGCTACAAGTCCTTCATTTGGAAGGGAAAAAACCCGTCCTTGTAATTTTCCCATATAGTCACATACACTTCTCCCACTTGAATCCCACAAAGTAATCCAGTTTGATTTAAATGAAGATGATGACACCTAAAATGAGTGTGTATACAAGTAGGAAGTATAACTATCATAAATGACTCGTAACAATTGTATTCTAGAAACAGATGGGGTGAGTCAAATCCATGCACTGAGCTAGAGCTCGGGACTTAAAAAATAAATACAAAGGACTGGGAACATTCTGAACCTTCAAATATTCTTAAAGCTTCTTGACATTTTACAGCTAAAAACAAACGACACCGATAACAGAGAGCCTCGCAGTTCTCTTTTCATTGTAAACACATAAGAGGAACCCAATGAAATGAACAGAAGAACTGAATCAAGAAAGCCGCTCTATCTCATTACGTTTCGCATTTAGTGTCCCACTGTCGAGTGTGGCTTAACTTACTTTCTATCTGGGAGTGGAGATCATTGACTATCACTTGTAGCTGCCCGATAGTCATGTCTCTCAGGTCAGTGGGTTTCAAACTTCTTTTCATCAAGCATTCACTTATGTGAGGCATGTGAGGCAGCTGAAGATACAAAGGGGGAGAAATGGAGGTGTGAATAGAACTGCAGCTGAGCAGAAGACCTGGTTTTCTCTGGAAAGACCCACCCTAGTTCTCCCACCTCATTTCAGGTTCTGTACTTAGCAGCTTTCCTAGTCTGTGACTTCGCCATTGGAGGGCCCCGTGCGCACACACGACG